CTTTGGTTCTTGTGTAGTGCATCATGCATAATAATAATAAAAAAAGAAAAAAGCTCATGTTGTGTTCTCAGTTGTAAACTTGTTAATTAAAAACATAATGATCTTTATCACATTAATTAAAACCAAATCTCTTTCTGTTCACTTGGAAAAAAAAGATTTTATTATTTTGCATGATAAATGGTAAAAAATGTTTATCACGTGGAAAAGGCATTTCAATTTCAACATAGATCATCAAATAAAATTATGTGTATCGATAGGACCAGGAAAACTCTATTATATGTGGCCACCAAATTAAATGGCAAATCATATTAATGTGAATCTTAGTTTTTTATAATTATGCGAATCAATTTTCTGAGCACATTTAAAAAATTATTAATAATGCGAATCGAAATCAGCCAAGGACATATGAAATTTAATTAAAAATATTTAAAAGGAGGCTTTGTGCACTTGACATACTAAAATGATTATAAATTAAAAATGTTTAATCATCTACTGCAACCAAACAAGGATTAATGTCATTAATATTAGAGTAAAAACATATCCCCAAAAAATATTAAAAGAGTAACCTTGTTTATTGCTTCTTTTAGGCATTTATTTTTTGTTAATTTATCACACTCATCACAAATAAAATTTTCATTGATCGTTTTTTTTTCACAATGAATATGATAAACTACTAGAACTTCTTTGTCCAAACGTCAAGTAGCTTCAGCTTCTAATGCTCTTTTAAACTCTTATAGTTCAGATTTAGAAAGTTTTCTTTGAGAAAAATATTTGTTTGCAGGAAATTTTTAGGAAAAAGTTTCTTTACAATTATTTCAGGTTTTTTACCACCTCCAAAATTAGCTGGACTATTTATAACATAATCAATATACTCAAGTCACAGAGGCCCTTGCATATATGTAGATTTTGATCTATATTATTATCATCAATGATATGTTCTTTATGGTTAATTTTTGTAAAGAATGCTTTGACACTAGGTTGATTGTTTATTAAAAAATTACAACTATTACTCTCAAATGACTTTTAAAGTTTGCAACTTGATAATTGATTCCAAGTGAAATAATTTGACCACATTGCAAATAACTTTTTTAGCATTGGAAAATTCTTGAAAGTTAGGGTATGTAGTAAAATGTTGTTGAGGAATTCTTTTGCTATTTTTACTATTACTATAAATTTTTTTTTTTGGTATGGCCAAGGTAAATTTTTTTTTATTAATAATGCGAATTATAGTGTAACCGATGACATTTTTCATTTCTCTATATTTGTGAATCAGTGTAACTGATGACATTTTTTTCTTTGAATTATATAAAGGCAGTGACCTTTTCCATTTTCTATTAATGCGAATCTATGGTGAGGCGGTCACATTTTTTTTTTAAAGTACTTTCGAATCATAGTTAGTGTTTGTATTCATTCGGAATTGTTTGGACATTATCTGAATATCATTCATGTGACTGATATTCAAATATCATGAATATTATTCAAATATCATGAATATCACGAATATCATAGTTGATCTTACTAAAAAAGGAAAAGATACACATAATAATAACGTTTTCTATTATTAATATTAACAATACATGCATGCATGTTCAAAAAAATTTTGTTTATTTTACGTTCAAGGAAATTAAGGAAATTGTTTATTTATCTACCCTATTACTATTTTGTTATTTCGATTAATATAGCATTGTACTGTTTTTTATCTAGATTTTCCAAAAGACTTTAACAATAAAGAAACAATTATTATTATGTTTTTTTTTAGTGGTGATTAAGTGTCTTTGCACTTTCAAAAAAGATATGTTGGCTTTTTTGAAAGACAACAAAGAAGAAATCAATTCTGTTTTTTAGTGGTGATTAAGTATTTTTACATTCCCAAAAAAGAATATGTTGGCTTTTTTTTTTTTACAAAGAAATCAATCAAGTATCTTTACATTTTCAAAAAAGACATGTTGGCTTTTTTTGATAATAAATTGTTTGTTTTTTTGTGGTGATTATGTATCTTTAGATTTTCAAAAAAAAACTTTTGACAATAGAGAAATAAATTATCAATTATCCTGCAGTGGTAAAGTATCTTTTACACAAAGGATTTTTTTATTTTAGTCCCATATTTAAAATTGTTATAAAATGAAGGTGTTTTCAACATTTCTGAAAAGTGTTGTTGTCTAAAAAATATTATAAATATTATAATAAATACAGTCGCACTTGTCAATTTGCATACCATATATTTGCATAATCTGTTCATTTGCATAAAGGTAGCTTAGTCCCACATTGGGACTTATGAACTATTTGCATAACGTAAACGTGCATATGCATCAAAAGTGATCCTGATTATACTAAGTCCCCACTAGGGATGGGAATGGTTTGGTTTGGTTTATAAACTGCCAGTTTGGCTAGTGAACCACACCGACTGGTGGTTTACCACTGTGGTTTGAACTGCGGTTCAAACCCAAGTTTAACCGCAGTTTTATAATTTTATTGGTAGGGATGGGAATAACAGGAGAGAACGTCCTATATAAGGAATTGATTTTCACAATTGATTTCAATTTTTTTTATACAGTTTAAAATACTTTTACAAGGGTATCATGTAGCCCATTCTTAC